TCTCGATGGAAAAGACAGAAGAATCAGACACAGAATTTAATTCTCTATGTGTAAGGGAACAAGGCTGGACTCTTCACAAGAAATAGGGAGGATCTCAAATTAGTCATGACACAAAGTGGCTTTTGTGTGATATAACCAAATCATCTGTAATTGCTAAGAGAGCACTTTAGCTGTCCTAAAACTTCTGATGGGGACCAAAGGCTGATTTTTGTCAAAAGATCAAATGCTAAATAAGAAAAATCAACATGTCAGAAAAATTACCCTGTGTAAGTGAGGGAGCCTATGTAAAGATAAAACGTGAGAAAGAGGCAGTCTTTTCTGAATCAAAGTGGAAGTAACGCAAGGGTGTGATTGGCAAGTGTTAGTCATCAGTACTTTATGTGCTCACTCCTGCTACACGCCCTGGCAGACCCTGGCTGCTTGCCGAGGCCTGATGCAGCTTTGCAGGGCAGAGCACAGCCCCCAGCTGTGCCTGTGGGTCTGAACTTTATGCCCAAACAGCGATTGAACTTTCTTCCCTTCTACAGAGCTTCACTCAGCAGTAGAGCAACAGTGGAGTACATGTTCTCCTGACGGCATGGAGGATCTAACTTCTCAGGATTTCTGCATGCTCTGGATTTGGGAGAAGAATTCAGAGAAAAACCTCAAACCCTCAGTCACGAGTGGATATTTCTGGAGTCCTAGCTGGTACTGACTAAATGCCTGCAGAATGGCACAATGCCAAGCACTACAGTTTATGTTAGTATTCCCCTGGAAGGAGATTTGCTCCTTTACTGAACTGTGAGACTTTAGTTTTGTATCAGTGTAAGTCTTTGAGAGGCTTTTAACTAGTAGAAACTTGGAGTACTACAGTGGTTGGCTGGAAACTGACTTACCAGCAGTCAGTGAGAACAGCTGCTAATCCTTTAATGGGTTGTGATTTACTTATTCATAGAGGCTAGAAAAGACCAGATAACTGGAATTCACAGACCATACGCTTAGCAAAAGTCCAAATAAATAAGTCTATCCCAGAAAGTTTTGCCAGAGTAAAGGTCTTTCTTTCCTTGCTGTACTATTCATGTATAGCAAATCTTTAGCTCCTAAAACACCTATGGTTTGTAAAGTATCTTGACCATTTAAGTCCCTAGCCCTGCTGCAAGTAGCCCCTCTCTGAGGAGTGCTGAAGACCAGCATAGCTGCAGTGCAGAGGCTTTCTATTTGCTTTCTCCCTAGACATCACCAAGATAACAAAATTAATTTATTACAACCTGACAGTGTGGAGAAATCATAGTCCTGTCCTGTCCTCTCTTCTCCTTTCCTCTGCTCTCCTCCTCTTAGATAACAGATTTAGAAGAAAATCGTAAACATCTGTGTCCAGATACGAACTTGTGATGGAAGGAAGGGGATCTCTTGTCCAACAGGCTTCTGGTTGTATGACAGCCTTTCTTCACTCAAACTGGAGCTGAGCTAATTTTGTGTTTCTGGGAGAGCAGAGAGCACACTAAGCAGAATACAAAATGTTGCTCTTAGATAATAGGGTATTAAATAACTGTCTAGGTTCTTGGTAGCATTAGCAAACTGAAAACATCATGCTTGAAGCAGGATTAGGCAATAGGAGCTCATTTCCACTGCAATGGAATTGCTTAGATCCTCTTACAGCTCATGGAAAATCATTATATTTAAACCTTACTTCTGGGCCACCAGCTTTCTGAAACATTCATAGCTTTCTGGTGGGTTGATATTGGTGAGGCTAGTGAAGCACAGTACTAAAAATAAATTTTGAAGCTACAATGAAAGGTGAGCTTGTGGCAGTTTTGCAGTCCTAACAGCACTGACTCCAAGCTTTTCTAGTTCCCTCCTCAAGATAATATTCTTAAACTGTGATTCAAGGAAATGAAGTCCTAAACATCCAAAACATCAGTTTATATAAGTCTCTGTCTTTATCTATGATATCCTGAAATATTTGTCTGTTACAGTTGTACAAATCAGGGCAAATCTAAGCCAGACATCCTGGGACCTGTTGCTTTTTTCACCTCCTGTCAATGTAATTAAGGAAAAAGCTAAGAGAATAGTTGCACCAAATTAGGAGTTAAAAAAGTTGTGCTAAATAAGCATGCCCATCTGTCTTTCCTTAGTATGCTATGACTCACACAGATATCTGGAGATCATCCCGTTTCCTTCCTGCCCTGAAAAAGAGGTTTTCACAATTAGAATGTAGCCACCTTGGTTTAGACTTTTTTTCAGGCATTTTATTTCTGTGCAGGAAATTCCTTCTGGAGAAAGTAACAGGGATGCCAGTTGCTAACTAGTTAAAGAAGAAAGCTGAGCAATAAAGTATACTTACTCCCTTAACATTTTTCTGTATGATGCTTCAGTGCCATTTCCAAAATCATTCTGTTGTACTAAGCTACTATGTCTGCTGTTCTTCATAGGCTGTGTCTTCACTACGTGGATGTAGGGTGCTGAAGGAGCTGGTGGAAATGCTTACCAAGCCACCTTTAATCATTTACCAGTAGTCCTGGTTCACTAGGGACATCCCAGTTGACTGGAAGTTAGCAAATGTGAAACGCATTTACAAGAAGGCCGGAATGAGGATTGAGGGAACTAGATGCCTGTTAAGTCTTGACCTCAGTGCCAGGGAAGGTTATGGAGCAGATCATCTTGGGTGCTGTCACATGGCAGATAGAGGACAACAAAGTGATCAGGCCCAGTCAGCATGCGTTTATGAAAGCAGGCCCTGCTTGATTAACATGATCTCTTTCTATGACAAAGTGACCCATTTAGTTGATGAAGGAAAGGCTGTGCATGTTGTCTACCTAGCCTTTAGTAAAGCCTTTGACACTATTTCCCATAGCATTCCACAGGAGAAACTGTCTGCTCATGGCTTGGATGGGTGTACTCTTCTCTGGGTAAAAAATTGGCTGAACGGCTGGGCCCAAAGAGTAGCAGTTAATGGAGTTAAATCCAGTTGGCAACCAGTTACAACTGGTGTTTCCCCAGGGCTCCGTGTTCAGGCCAGTTATGTTTAATATCTTTATCCGTGATATGGATGAGGGGATTGAGTGCACCCTCAGTAAGTCTGCAGATGACACCAGAATGGGTGGGAGTGTTGACCTGATGGAGGGTAGGAAGGCTCTGCAGAGGGATCTGGACATGCTGGATTGATGGGGTGTGGCCATCAATGAGGTTCAGCAAGGCTCAGTGCCAGGTCCAGCATTTGGGCCACAACAACTCCATGCAACACTACAGAGCTGGGGAAGAGTGTCTGGAAAGCTGCTCAGTGGAAAAGGACCTGGGGATGTTGGTTGTCAGGAGGCTGAACATGAGCCAGATTGTGCCCAGGCAGTCAAGAAGGCCAACAGGCATCATCCTGTCTTGTATCAGAAATAGTGTGGCCAGCAAGAATAGGGAAGTGATCATCCCCCTGTACTGGGCACTGGTGAGGCTGTACTTCGAGCTCTGTGTTCAGTTCTGGGTCCCTCGCTGCAAGAGAGACACTGAGGTGCTGGAGTGGGTCCAGAGAAGGGCAACAAAGCTGGTGAAGGGCCTGGAGAATAAGTCTTATGAGGAATGTCTGAGGGAACTGGGATTGTTTAGGCTGGAAAAAGGAGCCTCAGGGGAGACATTATTGCTCTATACAACTCCCTGAAAGGTTGTAGCAGGGTGGGGGTCTGTGTCTTCTCCTAAGTTACAAGCAATAGGACAAGGGAAAATGGCCTCAAGTTGTGCTAAAGGTGGCTTAAATTGGATATTAGGAAAAAACTCTTCACCTAAAGGGTTGTCAAGCACTGGAAAGGGCTGCCCACTGAAGTGGCTGAGTCACCATGCCTGGAGGTATTTGAAAGGCGTGTAGATGTGGCACTTAGGGACATGGTTTAGTGGTGGGCTTGGCAGTGTTGGGGTAACAATTGGACTCAATGATCTTAAAGGTCTTTCCAATTTAAATAATGCTATGATTCTATCTATGATTCTGTTGATGAGAAGGACATTTCAAGGCTTTGTAATGAAACTTTCCACAAAACAGCCACGGAAGTAAGTAGAAGGGATAGAAAAGGGATATGTCATTAGGTTCAGAACTTTTAGCCTGAAGGGGAGATCAGGAGAGGTGTTCTTTGTCCTTTTTCTGTTTTGCATGAAGCAGTTGCTACATAAAATTCAGAATCTCTCTTGGGAATAGTGCTTATACCTCTTCATGAAGCTGGCCTGTACTGCAATAGAAATGTGTGTATTCAGATAGTCAGTAGATCAGAAATACAAACAAACCTATTGTAAAAGTGAAGGGAACAGCTAACATTGCAGTGATTTTACAACTTCACTTGCATGGTAAAAGAAATGTTTCTAAAAAGTACTGGCAGTGATTATTAATAATCCATAATTATTCATTATTCTGTGTTAAAGAAAATTTCTCTTCATACATAGATATAAACATTGAAGAACTGTTTAATAATATGATAGTGTGTCAGAGAAACATTTGGCTTTTAGCCATGTGTTAACAATTACAATGTGTTCCAAGGATGCAAGAGAAAGTATTCCATAAATATCTACTACAAATCCATTGTTAAGACTTGATTAATATGAATGGACAAGAGACAAATGTTAGCTGTTCTGTTTAATGTTGTGGTCCTTGTGCTTCTTTGTTTTCAAAAGGGGAAAAGGACACACCAAGAGAGTTTAAGCACTTTAGAGCAATGAAGCTATCCTTGCAGCTAGGACTGTTCTGTTTTTTCAGTAAAATGATAATGTTAGTAATAGGTGAAATTGTGTGTTGAAACAATAATACAAAGAGAAGAGATGATTATATTTGAAAATCTGTTAATCAGTAGAGGGTTTCTTTTTGTATGAAGAACAAGTTGAAATTCTGCTATTGTGTATCTTAGTTACTTTATAACTAAATATTACAATGGTAGCTATAATGATAAGCAATTAGCATAGCCATATATGGGGAAGGGTATATGGGTGGATCCAGGGGAGTATTGTGAAACTCTACCGAAGCAGAACTCACGAAGATACCAGGAGTAGTCAAGTGAAAATAAGAGAATGCTGGCATCCACATAATGATTGGGACATGTCCAAGGAACAGAAAAGTGAACAGGATGACCTGAGGAAGACTTCTTACTTCATCCGAGGAAGACTCCTTACTTCATCAGGATGACCACCAGAGGGGGGCTGCGCAAGCGCAGAAGAGGCTGATGTTGTAATAGACTGATGTGGCAATCCTTGATGCATATGTATTAGTCAATGATGTAATCTGTGTTGAATATGTATTAGTGACGACATTTTTAGTGTATAAATTGCGAGCGCAATGTAACGGGGTTGAAGCCAGATTTGGGCGTGTGCCCCTGGTTTCCCAGCGCTGCAATAAAGCACCTCATATAACCATTCCGGTGGTTATGTGTCAGTTCTTACGCTAACATTTTGGCGACCCAGATGGGACCTCGCGGGCATTGCTGAGGTGGATTGCGTTTCGATCTTGCTCCAGCCAGCACCAAGAAATTCTCGGGGAGCCATCGACCGTGACCGACCTCTGCTGCTCACGACGGACCTCTGACACGGTAAGAAAGGTGCTTTTGATTTGGGTTACGGTACCGATTTCTAGTAAAGGTATGGTATTAACCTTTGGTAAAGGTCTGGTAAAAGCCTGCCTGTTACATGCAGCAAAGGGGCTGCGTTTGGCTAGGCTAGTGGTAAAACCGGCTAGTGGTAAAGCCTGCCTGTTAGACGCGGCGAAAGCTGCGCTTGGTTGGGGCTAGAGAGCTCTCAGGGGTAAAAGCCTAGGCGCCGTCCGTTAGACAGTAGCGAAAGCTCTGCAGGTTCGGCAAGCGTGGTTCAGTATTGGTATTTATGCTGCAGGAACAGCATCGGTTTAAATAAGTGTTGGAACTTAGTTGTGTAAAGGAAACCAGTTTTCCTTAGGATTTGTGGTACAAAAGGAAACTCCTTTGTACTCACAAGATGCCGCCGATTCCCAAGTCCTCTCCACTAGGCTGTCTGCTAAGCCATTGGAAGAAAGGGGGATTTTGGCAAAGTATGCGGAAAAAGTAAATTGACTGATTACTGTAATGTATGGTGGACACAGTATGAACTAGAGGATCAGGAGAAATGGCTTGAAAATTGGACTTTACAGTACAATACTATATTGCAGTTGTTGTATTGTAAAAGGGAAAGAAAATGGGATGAGGTACCATATGTTTATCTATTCTTTGCTTTAAGAAATGATGAGTGGCAAAAAAAAAAAAAAAAATTAAAAAAAATCCTGTGGAATAATGGATGTGAAGGTAAATGCTAATCAACAGTATAAGGGATGTGTTACCAAAAAGGTATATGCAATGCCTTGCTGTAGATAATAGTTTACAACACCAGAGGGACACTGAAAGTCTGGATTTAGTAGTGACCCCATCAGCCCCACCGGCTTCAAATGGAGGAAGGGGGGGGGAGAAGATGACAGTGAGGAAGAGAGTGATAGTGATCTTGAAAGCATGGGAAGTTGCCAGTGTAGGGAAGATCAGAGGGCAACCCTCCCTGCTACTCTGGTTTCACACAGAACTTGCTGGAGAGGAAATGGGGAAGGAAAAATGTGAATCCAGGTACCTAAAGCAGTGCTGGTGCCTTTAAGACAGGGGGTGGGAGCTGAGGGCCCGGTGTATGTTAAGGTACCTTTCTCGCCTGGAGATTTAATCATCTGGAAACAATCAGCAGGAACATACAGAGAAAACCCTGATAAAGTAGCCCATGTAATGAAAATGATTATGAAAACTCAAAATCCAATTGGGAGAAAAAGAAGTAAAGTTTTTAATAGACACAGGGGCTACCTATTCAGTTTTAAATGATTTACACGGGAGGTTAGGGGAAAGAACTACGACAATTGTGGGAGCCACAGGGAAGGAGGAAATACGGCTATTCTTGCAGCCCCTAGATCTACGATTTAGAGGGAAGGAATTAACACATGAATTTCTATATGTACCTGAATGGCCCATTCCCCTTTTAGGACGGGACTTATGGGCCAAATTGGATGCAAGGATCATTTTTGAGAATTGTGAATTAATAATGCAAATCCCTGAATCAAAAGCAGGACAGATTTTGCTTCTTAAAGAAAAGCCTATTGCTCAAATCCCAAAGGAGGTAGAAGAGGCTGTAATACTGGTAGTTTGGGAAACAGAAACCCCAGGAAAATCAAAAGCAACTCAACCAGTAATAGTGGAGCTAAAGGATGGGGTTAGGCCAGTAAGAATTAAACAATATCCACTGAAGCTAGAAGCAAGATATGGAATTATAAAAACAATCAAAAAATTTTAAAATATCGAATTTTGGAAGAATGTGGATCACAATATAACACTCCAATTTTTCCAGTAAGAAAACCAAATGGTGAATATAGGTTAGTACAAGACTTGAGGGTAATAAAGACATCCACCCGGTGGTGGCAAACCCTTGTACATTGCTAACATCTGTGAAGGAAAATTATAAATGGTTTACAGTAATTGATTTAAAGGATGCCTTCTTCTGCATTCCCCTTGACAAAAGGAGCAGGAAACTGTTTGCATTTGAATGAGAAAATCCACAGAATGGACGGAAAACACAATTGACATGGATCAGACTTCCACAAGGATTCAAGAACAATCCGACTCTATTTGGAAACCAACTGGCCAAGGAATTGGAAGCATGGACCACCCAAGGGAAAATACAGGTACCGAGATCACAATACCTTTTGTTACAATATGTAGATGACATCTTTATTGCAACAGAACACGAGTCATTGTGTATAAAGGTAACCATTGAAATCTTAAACCAACTAGGCCTGAACGGGTATAAAGTCTCAAAAGAAAAGGCACAAATTGCATGCACGACTGTGTTGTACTTAGGATGTGAAATTTCACAAGGGCAGCGAAAGCTGGGAATAAATCGCATAAAGGCTATCTGTGCCATCCCAGAACCACGAAACTTGCATGAACTAAGAATATTTTTGGGCATGACAGAGTGGTGCAGATTATGGATAATGGACTCCAGACTTATTACCAAACCCTTATATGAAGCCCAAAAATTACATGCCTTACATGGAACAAACCACAGAAAGAGGCCTTCAAAAATCTGAAGGAGGCATTAACAAAATCACTGGCATTGGGACTCCCAGATTTGACAAAAGATTTTCAGTTGTTTGTCCACGAAAGACAGAGGTTGGCACTGGGAGTATTAACTCAGAAACTGGAAAAGACCGGTGGGATATTTCTCAAAACTGGATCCGGTGAGTGCAGGATGGCCCTCATGCTTGAGGGCAGTAGCAGCAACTGTCATTTTGATCCAAGAAGCTAGGAAATTAACTTTGGGAAAGCATATCGATGTATTTGTGCCACATATGGTAACCAATGTTCTAGAACAAAAAGGGGGGCATTGGTTGTCTCCTAGCCGGATGATGAAATATCAAGCAATCCTAAAGGAACAGGATGATATGAGAACTACTAATCTGCTAAACCCAGCAGCTTTTCTAGGAACTGACCTAGAAGAAGGAGCTCTTGAACATGACTGCATAGAAGTCATCGAACATACATATGCAACCAGAATGGACTTAAAGGATGTACCTCTTGAACGACCAGACTGGGAACTCTTCACAGGTGGAAACAGCTTTGTGGAGAACGGGGCACGATATGCAGGATATGCTGTGACAACGCAACAAGAGGTAGTCAAAGCCAAAGCACTACCTTCTGGAAAATCGGCCCAACGGGCAAAATTAATAGCTCTCACGAGAGCGTTGGAACTGAGCAACGGCAAAAAGATAAATGTATGGACAGACTCGAAATATGCATTTGGTGTGGTACACATTCATGGAACGTTATGGAAAGAACGGGGACTTTTATCCTCACAAGGAACTAATATAAAATATCAGAAGGAAATTTTGGAATTAATAATTGCTGTACAAAAGCCTAAACAGATGGCTATTATGCACTGCAAAGCGCATCAAGGAGGAACTTCAAAGATATCTGAAGGAAATATTTGGCAGATCGGACGGCCTGACGAATAGCCTGGAAGGTATGGAACATGATGGCTTTGATACCTCTGAAGGTAAGCCCGCTCCACACCTATCTTTCCCAAAGTCCAAACATTTAAAAGAAGATGAAAAGTTAGCAGGACTCTTAAAAGCCCAAAAGAACTCTGAAGGGTGGTATGTAACAACAACAGGACAAGTAATAGTGCCACTGACAATAATGCGGAAAATTCTACAAACTGAACATCAGAAATGTCATTGGGGTGCAGAAGCATTGGTAACTTATTTAAAACGAGGAATAATTTCCACACAGATGTTAACTATGGCAAAATCAGTGGGATCAAAATGTGAAATTTGTTTTAAAAAAACAATCCAGTCGTAAAAAGACAAGTTGAAATGGGAAGAATTAGAGTAGGAATGGAACCAGGAGATTATTGGCAGGTTGATTTTGCGGAACTACCAAAGGTACAAGGATACAAATATCTGTTAGTAGGAGTTGACACTTTTCTGGATGGCTGGAGGCCTTTCCCTGTCACACCAATCAGGTAAAAGAAGTGGTGAAGTGGTTGCTTAAAGAAATCATTCCACGATTTGGAGTCCCTTTAGGGATATCATCAGATAGGAGTCCACATTTTATTGCAACCATAGTACAAGAAGTTAGTAAACTATTAAGAATATCATGGAACTTGCATACTCCTTGGAGGCCCCAATGTAGTGGGCAGGTGGAAAAGATGAATCAGACAATAAAGAGACAGATCAGTAAAATATGTCAGGAGGCTAAAATAAAATGGCTTGCAACAACGAAAATGACCTTGCAGGACAGAATGACATTGAATATGTTACTGATTAAAGAACATGGTGTTTATGACTATTTGAAAGACAGAATACATCACTGTTGTATTCATATTCCTAACGTACCTGCGAATATAGAATATGATATTTCCCAACTGACTAAAATAGAACAGAAAGCAGAAAAATAAAAGGAGTATATTGAGCAAAGTTGGATTGGAGCACTCTTCGATAGTTTGGGCCTTCACCTTACAGGATGGATTCGTTCCCTCATGCAAACTGTAATTGTAATACTGATTGTATTTTTAATGCTATATCTGATGTATCTTTGTATCTGGAAGGAAATAACCCGAAGCAGTACATGGACCCATCGAATTATAGGAGCAATAACTAGGGAATATCCAAAGCACCCTACACCTCCACCTACCTATCAGGAGACAACCATCTAAAGAAATGAAAATACTTGCTTAAGTTAAATGAAGTATTTTCAAAGGGGGGAAATGTTAGTAATAGGTGAAATTGTGTGTTGAAACAATAATACAAAGAGAAGAGATGATTATATTTGAAAATCTGTTAATCAGTAGAGGGTTTCTTTTTATATGAAGAACAAGTTGAAATTCTGCTATTGTGTATCTTAGTTACTTTATAACTAAATATTACAATGGTAGCTATAATGATAAGCAATTAACATAGCCATATATGGGGAAGGGTATATGGGTGGATCCAGGGGAGTATTGTGAAACTCTACCGAAGCAGAACTCACGAAGGTACCAGGAGTAGTCAAGTGAAAATAAGAGAATGCTGGCGTCCACATAATGATTGGGACATGTCCAAGGAACAGAAAAGTGAACAGGATGACCTGAGGAAGACTTCTTACTTCATCCGAGGAAGACTCCTTACTTCATCAGGATGACCACCAGAGGGGGGCTGCGCAAGCGCAGAAGAGGCTGATGTCGTAATAGACTGATGTGGCAATCCTTGATGCATGTGTATTAGTCAATGATGTAATCTGTGTTGACTATGTATTAGTGACGACATTTTTAGTGTATAAATTGCGAGCGCAATGTAACGGGGTTGAAGCCAGATTTGGGCGTGTGCCCCTGGTTTCCCAGCGCTGCAATAAAGCACCTCATATAACCATTCCGGTGGTTATGTGTCAGTTCTTACGCTAACAATAACATGTGGGCACTTTCACTAGATAAGTGGCAAATTGGGAAGATGTCATTGTATAAGTCTTTCCATATGGATACAGTGAATGTGTCAAATAAAGCATCCTACCATTTGACAGATGATGGTTTTCAAAAAGATTACTGCATTCACATTGCTGGATTGTTATTGGAAGAGCCAGATGAAGCTGATGCAGTTCCAGATGCTAAATATGAAAAGTTTATTGGAAGGCTCAATAAATGTAGCATTTACAGCCACAGACTTGCTGCTGACGTACCACCTAAGTGGGTTTTGTATACTTCTGATGCTGAAGTACTGCAATGCAAAGCCTAATACATCAGGAAAATGCTAGACTTGATGTCTGAGATACACAATTATTTGCAAATACTCAGTCTAAGGATTGTTTCCTTTAGCCACAGACATTTTCTTTATGGCCAACTTTGATCAGCACTTAAGTTTGCATAACAAGAAAATAAGTAATAGTAATGCAAACAACTGTGTTAAATAGTTTGGGTAGCTTTTCAGATAAAGAGAGCTGCTAGTGACAATGCTGAAAGATGTTGACACTTAGTCTCAGGTTATGATCTTCCATTCTGTGTGTTACTTAGTGGAACTTGAGAATTTCAAATAGTGTCCCTGGTAAAACACGTTCACTAAAGATGATCAGCCAGTGCAAACATTCCTCACAGCTTCTCAACTACTGCTCACTCCTCCCTGCAAGCCATTCATTCCTGAGGCTTGTGGTTCTGGCACAGCAATTCTTCATTAGTGCATCTTCAATACTCAGCTATTTTACAAATAGAAAGCACCTACCTACCGGATGAGTTTTGTGATAACTTAGGATTTCTAAAAAAGAGGGTGGAAACAACCTTAACTAATGTATTATATTGTCTCAAAATATTGTCTTGGCACTTGGAATTTAGTATAATACCTATGGATTTTGAATTCCAGTTTGTTTTTTTTTTTTGTAATTGGGCCAGGTGTTCTCTCTCCTGCAGGATTTGTCTGGCAGTAGTAATCTGAGTCTTTCTGGTAAAGTACATGCAATCTGACCAATAAAGGGCAAATGGGCTACTCTTCTTTGTCCTACAGTGTTCAGAGCAGAAAGAAAATGCTGGAAACATTTGTGATAAAACTAGTGGTACATGGCAGAGCACTGTTTAAATTTTCGTTAGAGCTTTGAAGCCAGTGGCTTCAGCATCTTGATAGACCCCATGAAGGAGGTATTTTGAAAAACAGCAAGATATGGTTACATACTTTAAATGGAAGTTTTACTTTATGATTTATCTGTTCCATAGGACACATCACAGTGCAATTGGAATTGATCTCTTATTGTGTTTCAGGTTCACAACACTCAGGCTTTATAGGTGATCTGCTCAAGACATGTTGACAGATGGCTTGCTTGGGAAAGTGGTGAGTTAAAATGTATGCCAGTGTCCTAATAGTCTTCTGAAATACTGCGCCTCTCACAGATCCACAGAGAAGCATGATCACTGTGGAAGTGGGAGATGGTGGCTGTGTGTATGAAGGCTTATTTCTCAGATCTCACTGCCTTCGCGGTGGAAATGTGACATACCAGAGGTGCCAAATGAACTGCTTCTGAAAGAATTCTGAGACTGGCACATTCATACTTTTCATTTGGTCACTGACTTAACACAATTAGTAAAATGACATCTTCGCATTGGCTAGCATTATCAGTCTGACATAGGCACTTAAAAGAAATTCTAGTTGTGCTTTTTATTATACCCAAGTCAATATTCATATAGACTGGGTAAGAACACAGACCTGTGTGCATGTTTTTGTGTGAGGGAGAGTGTGCATGTGTGCATGCATGCGTGCGTGCACTCACACACCCGGGGAAGTGTTTGGGAAATGGCTGGCACGTAGCAACAAAAAACAATAGGTCTCTTTACTGTTTATATAAGATGACCTCCTTTGAAATGGTAATGAAGTGTCTGACATGGCAAACAAAGAATCACACAATAATTGAGGTTGGATGGCACCTCTTGAAATCGTCTAGTCCAATCCCCCTGCTGAAATAAAGTCATCCAGAGCTGGCTGCTCAGGACAAACCTCTTTCTGATCATCAAATAATTACTGGATTACCAAAAAACCCTATAGTAGTGTCTTAGAATAATGTGTTTTGTCTTACTGGCTTCTGTACTTAGCATTCTGTACTTAGCATTCTGTACTTAGCAACCGTTTCTCTGAAACCATGACAATGAAGACTTGTAATTAAGAAAAAAACTTAATTCCAAGAGCTGAAGTTAAAGACAAAAAATATACAGAGTTTTTTTTAATTGTATAAACAGTGTGTCACATGTACTGAAGAATCCACATAAAATTGTATGGAGTAGAACAGCCAGCTGTTGAGCATAGCAGTGGCTATAAATTAACTACATGGACTGTGCAAATAACGAATCTCATAACCAAGAATTTCCTAAGGCTTTGCTTAGCTCAGGGATGAAAACTAGCAACTGTTAGAAGAAGCAGCTGCAGATGATTATCAACTACTATCACGACTTTTTAACGAGAGGGCCACTCCATTTGTTCTTGACATGGTTTTATTGCTTCAAAAACAGTACAGGAGATAGAAATGTTAATTAATTACTTTGAAGTCTCAAAATTTTGATAAGTATTATTTTCTTCCTCTTCTGGAACCTTCAAATTCTTGCTTATGCCATCTGCATTTCCATCACATAAATTTCAGTGATTCACAGCCATCTCCTGTTTTTCATAATTGTAATTTCCCCCTTGTTTACATGTACCACACCCTGATGTTGCTTGCTTGGTATTTTTTTTTAAACAACATCAGTTCTTACTCATTTAAGTACTCCATAAAGAACCCTGAAACAGGAGACCTTTTCCTCCTCATATGAGTAATGTCACAGGCATGATGCATCTAGGTTTTCCAAAGCATCCAAAGGGGTTGGTCTCTTAGAATTAAATTCAGAAGTAAAACCCCAAGATTGACTGTTTTGCTCTGTTTTTTGTGTTTGGTTTTGTTTTTTTTTTCCAAAGATTCTCTAATGGATTTGTGTCCTGGGTTCAGCTGCAGCACTTATTTTTGATTGCAAGGGTCAATTAGGGAGAATTCATTTAGAGTTTTGCTCCTCTAACTTTTCTACAAGCATACCTTTTAATTTCTGAGGCAGCCAACATGATTTTAAAAGTCCCTGTAATTACTATGAATTCCTTCCTCTCACATAGTACTGCCAACCGCCAGTAGGCATCAATGAAGGCTCCTAGTAAGTCCTAGTCAACAAGATGCTATTGACTAAAAGACACATCTGTGCAGAGTTGCTTGAACAAGGGAGAATCAGAAATTTTGATCAATAAACAGTAGCTAACAAAAAGAAAACTTCATTTTTAATAGTCAAATTTTAAAATAAAATTTTTAATCTGCCAAGAGGAATGAAAAAATAACCTCACAGTCTTTCTGAACATGCCAAGATACTTAAAATCATAAAAGCAGGGTAGAAGAAAAAAAATAAACTTTCCTCTTCCTGGTTTAAAGGAAAGAAACACACCTATGTGTTGATTAATACCTTCACTCAGTTCCTTTTGCATTATTTATTGCCAGGAACCTAGATTGCATGACCTAATTCCTGGAGTGGGTCCTTCACTTTTTCTGTTAAGGATAACTAGCCCAATAGAGGTAAATCTTGAAGATGGTTCTTGAAGCCCCAAGGAAAGGAAAAAGCAAGATGAGCAAAGCTCCTTTTCTTCTCTCCCCATTCCAAGGCGCTTCCCATTGTGTCTCCTGTGGGCAGTGCTCCTGCCCTGCTTCTCTGTTCAACACCACTCAAGTCTTCCAAAGTTTCACCTTATTTCCATCTGACTGGAAGAAATGATCAAACTGGAAACAGGAGCCTCAAAGCAAGATTAGTGAGCTGCTTGTGTTCTTGTCTCTCATCAGATATCTTGCACATGGATGTAGTAGGTTCATTGAACCTGTCTTGCCCTTTACAGACCTAAAACCTGTGACAGATCATGGTTATAAAACATAAAAATCCATGCTGCAAATTGCAGCTGTTTAAGAGCTGACTTATGAGCAGTTCAGAACTCTGCTGCAGCAGAGGGAAGATAATGGGCTATGGCACAACACCCTGCCCCAATCTAAGTCACCCTCACATGAGAGCCATCTGCAAACAAGCCAGTCACCGATCTTTTAGGTGAATGCAAGACTGTGTTGGGTCTCTGGTGCAGAAGGAAGGGGCCTCCAGTCACACAATGGAGGTTACCATTTGTGGAACCATTTGATATGGCTGAGCTAGAGGTGGAGCTGGAGGTGGTCACTTGTGACATAGTGGTGGGATGCAGCAAGTCCATAACATGAGCGGTCCTTCCATTTCCTCTCCAGTGCACCTCTTTTCAGGGAGCAGGCAATGCAGAGACAGACTAGGACACTAACTCTCTCCCTTTCTCTCCCACACCTCTTTAAGAGAGATCTTGAAGGGTCCCTATGTTTGTGGTCACACTATATACTTATGGCTGCATCTGGAATGGTGATCTTAGAGAGATCACCATTAGCATTGCTATAATTAAATGTATATTAAGAAAAGGTGCTGCAAAAACATTATAGACATGAATTTTGCTAGGAAACTGTGGCTATGTAAAATATATACACAAGCTGTTCAGTGCCCCCAGACCACACTGAGATTATCAAGAAGCCACAGCTGGTGATGTTAGATTTCTAATCAGGAAACATCCTTAAGAATGTTGAAGATAACAGTGGCATTCTGCTGGGGGACGGGACGGGACGGGGAAGGCAACCAGTCATTGTACAGAGGTCACATAACTTGAATATGTAGAGAAGGTTGCAACAATCTGAACAGGCAGAGCCTGAGTATTTAAGACTGTAATGAAAACCACTAGTTTTGCATATACTCTTGCTTCAGCATTGAGGCTGCAGAAATGTTCACTTGCTACACTGTATTACTATATATGTGTTATAACATCATTAGGGGGAATGAACAACTCATGCTTGTGTCTAACCTAGTGTCCTTACTGAGGCTTTATTGTAAATCAGCTACAACTGCCTGCCCTGTGTATAATATGAATAAAACTCTATTTATAGCCAGGTAATTTTTCCTTGAGCTGAAGAAGCAAACAGGCCTCAGAATCAGGTGACAACTTCATTATCTTTGCATTTGTCTCTATTGGCAGTTGTAGGACCTACTGATAAAAAATTAATGATGGCTTGTACAAGGAGTGAGGATGCATTGAAAAATTATCATGTTTTTATTTTTTTTGCTTTTATTTTACAGAAAGTTATTGTACTCCACAGCCCTAAAAGGAAAATCATAGCAAAGAAACAGCTGTTAATAAGCCTTTATACAAATCGCTTTAGTGGCCTGTTAGGTAAGGCTTTGAAAGAGTGATGGAGGGAGGAAATAACAGAATTTTGTTCAGCAAAATCTTGTTATGAGAGAACTCCAGGACAAGATAATGATATTGTTGTTTCATAAATACAAAAGTTATGACTTTCCTGGCATGCATCACAAGGCCAGTGGTTAATAAGACATGCAGTCTTGTCTCATGTGCAGCATAGAATCTGTAATAAGGGACTGGCAACAGAGCTAGCTGGTATGTCATGTCAACACTAATCCCGACTCCTTGGAGAGCACATGAAGAGTGGAAGGCACACAATCAGAGTTCTGTGCAAGCACTGTAATGAATGTGTATTGCCAAAGGAAGCAATGTAGGTTTTTTTTATAAGAGTGGGGTTTTTTATACTATACAGCAACAGCAGAGATGTAGCTAGGCTGAGCTTAACAGAGGTGAATTCTTCAGTTGGGGAAAAAAGAGATCTGCTCCACTAACATTTGTTATGGATAGGTCCAAATTACAGACATACGAATTCACCTGTATTCAGCCTTTGAATCTGGCATTATCATTTAATTCACTTTATAAGCAAAACTTGGTTCCAGGTAACAATTGGTATCCTACAACCTCACAAGGCTTTTGATATCTAGACAGTAAGCAAATCACTGAAGCAACTGGTCTTGTTGACAGTGATAAAGAGTGATTAACTTATTTCTTTTGGGAAATGTAATTCCAAGGAATAGGTCTAAGAAGAAATGAAACCCAGCAAAAGTCTTTTGCTACTAGCATTTCTTTTCCTCTTCTTTCGCCCGCCCTGGTTAACCACCAGCAGCGTTAGCTTGCCATTATCATGTTGACGAATCTTCCTTTTCATTAATATCTGGTTTATCTTCCTCTGAGTATGCCAAAATTTAACCCAGTGTGAAAGTTTATGATGAAGCTGCAAAGTAGAAACTTAGCAGAGGAAGCTGATACCAACATGCAAAAGAGTGTATGCAGCAGTCCTGTTCATCTTTTCGGGGCTCACTCATTTTTGAGTGGTAACTGCCCTGATACAACTCTACACACTGGAGATTGAATGAAAAAAATTACAGCAGAAAACCCCACTTCCTCCATAATTCAGCCTCTGCTTTCCAAACTGTAACCGGCTTCATGCTGAAGACTCACAGTGCTTCCTTCCAAAATTAGCTTTTCCAGTCTTACAAACCACAGCTGCTTCTGGTTGGAGTAAGGGTAAATTTTAAAAAATGTTCTACTTCCAGTGGAAGAAAATGTACCTAGGCCACTGCGAGCAATATAACTTATTACTCTAAGTGTTTTTATAGGTAATTGTTTACTAAGTGTGTCAGCAGTGTTTTCTTTCTCCCTTCTTTTGTCTTTAATTGAGAATACACAATGATACCTCCTTCCAGCTGGCCTCACAGTTTATATTTCATATGAAAATACCTCAGTTTTTCAGGGTATTCCTTTGGGCTACCAATGAGTTGGACAGACTGCAAGTTTTTAAAAATATAAATAAAGCTTTGAAATATAAATAAAGCTTTGAAATAAAACTTCCTGCCTACTCTCCCAACTTCCTGTATCCTCATTCTTCTCATTTTGCAGCTACTGATAGCTCAGGACAGTGTTTTACATGGAGAAACTGAGGCACAGAAATGCTGCAGATGTTAGACAAAATCAGCGAGGGATCCAGCAAGTGAAGTAGAAGTCCTGGCCTCCCAGCATATGCCACGAAAGCAAAGGAACTGTGGGCCAACAAAAGGAAAAAATGCTGTCTACCAGAAATGGAACATTTTTCATACCGGCTTTTTAATATGCTGGAAACCAGAAAAGAAAAACCTCTGGTGATTGATCCCTTCCCTGACTTTTCTTATGATACAGTCTGAAGACTAGTCAAAGAAAGTTAAACCAACATTTCTAACCTGCATTGCAAAGCTCTCATCAGTGTGCAGGAGGCTATCCTTTCCTGGTAATACTCTCATTGCCATCTTTTGAAGTTTGGTGGGTTTTTTACTACATATGATATGACTGAAGTTCTTTGTCTGCAGAAAAGAGAGTCCACGTGCCTCCAGCAGATGCAGGGTGAAGGCTTCTGCATCACTCTAGCTCCGACTCTCCATCTTATCCAGTGAAATTTTAAATAAGCTTTAGCAAAAGAGTTTGAGAGAACCTCACATAAGCATCTCTCACTGGCCAGGATGCACTCCTGTGATATAAGTTTTGTGAGGAGTAGAATTGTAGAATCATAGAATAGTTAGGGTTGGAAAGGACCTTAAGATCATCTAGTTCCAACCCCCCTGCCATGGGCAGGGACACCTCACACTAAACCATATCACCCAAGGCTCTGTCCAGCCTGGGCTTGAACACTGCCAGGGATGGCGCATTCACAACTTCCTTGGGCAACCCATTCCAGTGTCTCACCACCCTAACAGGAAAGAATTTCTTCCTGTTACCGCTTGTCCTGTCACTACAGTCTCTAATGAAGAGTCCATCCCCAGCATCCCTATAGGCTCCCTTCAGATACTGGAAGGCTGTTATGAGGTCTCCACGCAGCCTTGCTTCTCCAGGCTGAACAGCCCCACCTTTTCAGCCTGTCTTCATACAGGAGGTGCTGCAGTCCCCTGATCATCCTCGTAGCCCTTCTCTGGACTTGTTCCAACAGTTCCATGTCCTTTTTATGCTGAGGACACCAGAACCGCACACAATCTGAACTTAAGCTTTCTGTAGACCAAGTAACTCCAGGAAGAAGGGGTGTTACCTTACTCGCTCTTCTCCTTTGAAAGGCACTAAAAGCCTTTCTATTTAAAGAAAAAAAAAATAAATAAAAAAGATCTGCAGATTCCACACAGAGTTAGGAACTTGCCTATATATCCCTATAGACAAAGCTTATTTTATATTTTGACATTGAACCTTGGCCTCTGTGGCACCACAAAATGCTTTATTCTCTCTGAAGCTCACAGAGAGAGCCCAGGAAGGACTGAGCGTTATGCCAAGTTCTCTGTGTGAATGTTTCCCTCCCTACAGTTCAATAGGCCATTTGTAAGAATATCTAACTAATAAGGATATTCCTTTGCATGCCATTAATCAGTAAAAGCAAGAAATGAAATGGTGTGTTTTGTGAGCTTTTATTACTGAGTCCTTTGTCAATGAATATGACACTGAGGTGGTTGGGTCACAAATTTGTGTCACAAATAATGGGACACAGCTATATGAATCGAAGTCTCCTGTTGTAGTGCCACTCACAGTTGCTATTCTCCTCTTTTTTGTAAAACGTAGTTTCCACTGGTCCCTGACGTGAGACAGAAAAGGAATTCTTAGTGACTCACCATGGGGAAGCATATAGATAAGGGGTGGTAACCGGCTAAATAAATTTTCAATATGTTTTGTCACATTTTCCTTTAGAGCTATCCAAAGTCTTCATGCACTTATGTTAATAATCACAGAGCAGCAAAAGACAGTGCACAACTTTTTTGGTGCAAGGATGTGAGCATCTTTCTAACAGATGAAAATGCTCATTTCTGGACTTACAGGATAAACACAGCTGCGAATTTAAAGTTTATTTTAATCAGGCTAATATTTGCAGTTTAAGAAGACTGCAGTTTTTGTCTGTGTGAATAAGACAACAGTTTTCAGTAATGTTAACCAAATTGTTAATGGTACTTTGGTAAGGCTACAAAATTACTGTCTCAAAAGTAAAGATATACTAGGAGTGCATGTTTCTGCAGCTATTTAACACAGACTTGTGCCTTTTGTGAATCTGTAGCATGATGTAAGTCTTACAGAGATTGTTTTTTTTCCCCACTGGTCCTGGTGTAGGGAGTTACTTCCCAAGCAGCTACTTCCTTTGCCATCCTGCTGTTCTGTAGGAGCCTCTTGCCTTGTTTACTCGTCATTATCCCAGCCCAGCTTGCACAATATACTCTGTGTGCTCTGTGACTCCTTCTATGTTCCTTGATATGGGTGCTTCAGGAGACTGAGTGAATTTACTGACACATTGTTCCTGTGGGATGGGGAGATGGTGTCCTTCCCATTGGACCAACGAGCAACTAAGATGCAGAAGAACTCAGGGAAAACCCTTCCATTAAAACCTCTGCAGCCTGATTTTTTGGGAGCGCCTTATATTAGCAATTGAAAGAATAGCTCTTGGTTTTCAGCTGCAATTTGCAAGAAGTAGGGTATTAATAATCACTTACAGATTTTGATGATAAAATAATTACAGGCATACACAATTTCAGATTCTGTGGAAATACATTTCAAAACCAGCATTGTAACAATGCATTGATACTTCGGTGACACAAAATAGGTATTATATGAAGAGCACAAAATAGGTATTATATGAAGAAAAAATTGCACCCTTTTTACCACATATTTATATAAATTTATTTTTTATGGTAGAACAGACAGAATGAATCTCCAAACTAATAATCAGACGGCGATCTTGAAGCCCCACAGCTCTAATGTGCCACATTGTCTCAGGCTCTATCATGCTCACCTCTCCTAGACACAGTCTAAATTATTTGCCTCTCAAGAGACAGCAGTCAGGCTTTCTGCAAGTGAAAAAGACGGAAAATATGCTGATCAAATGCAATACACAGGCTGGAGCATCCATTATTTAAGCATATTTCAATTATTTTAAGCATATCACTGCACTAATCTTTGTTTTCAGTGGCTTGATCCTGAGAACCTGTTTACTGTCTTTAACAGTTGAGAGCCAACCTTTATGCACAGGAGGGATTATAGAATCACAGTATTGTTCATGTGGGGTATTTCTCCATTTCTTTGATTTCAAGGTTCTTGCTAGTAGAACTGTGTTTACCTTTAACCCCATTGTCTTTTGCTGTCATGCTTCTTCGCCATTTTGACCAAAGCCTCTGATGATTCCTAGTGGTTCCCAGTGTCAGGAGCTTCTAGTGGAAGAGTAAAAGATATTTATCAATTCCTTAAGAAATTAGAGAGACTTGTCCTCATTGGAAGGAAACAACTATGAAACATCCATACTAGGATAGCTCAGAATAGCCTGCAGTCCTCTGGGCAATGTGGACTTCTGCTCAGAGGCCTATCATGTCAGCTCTCTGGAGCCCTAGAGATCCTGCCCAGGCCTTGAAACAGCATTATTTTTCCTTTTTTTCTGTTTTTGGTGAAACTCCCATGCTGTATTGACAGTGAACTGAACTACAAAGAAATCAGTCTTGCATCTGCCTTTCACTCTTTCATAATGGGATTCCCTTTCTAACACCATTTTTGCAAGATTATGGCAAACAGTTGTCACAGTTGTTGTTTTCTGTTTTGTGTTCCTTTCTAGCCTCCAAAATGCCACTGGATGAAGTTATCTGCAAATAAAGATTTGTTTCTATTTTTCATAAAAATGGCAGACTTTGTTTCCCTTCTTTTCTTCTCAATTGCTGTGTCATGTATTGCATAAAAGATAGAGCAGCCATTGGACATAACCATTCAGTTCTGTTTTTTCAGAGCCTGCTAATGAAAATAAGCCTAAAAAGTTCGGATTTCTGGAGATCTCACTGTATGTAGCCTCATCTGGCCTTATAACTTTACTCATGAACACACTGCATTTTATGAGACATGAAGGGATCTTGCAGACTCCACGTTTCTGAGCGAGGGTTTCAGGTGCAGTAGTGAGTGTGTGGTGCCTGCCTGTCCCCCAACAGCCACTTTACTTGGGGCATGTCCTGGGGCATCAAGAAATGCAGCCACTCATGCGTGAAGATGCACTTACAGTCCCATACATAGTCCTCGAGGTTATGCTCAAAATTCAGGCTGAACATAAAAATACATACGCTTTTTTAATCCTTTTGGCTGGAAGTATGCAGCTCTGGCATTCTGCTCGAGAGCTAGGCATTCAGAGGGTGATAGGAAAGTGAAGGATTCCTAGAAATATAACACCTTCACCACTGGGGAAAAAAAACCCTCCCGGCGCTGGTGAAGTGCCAGAAACAAGAAATCAAGTAATCTTCTCGATTAATATTATCTTTCCAAAGAAAAGAAGACATACATTAGTGGCAGGAAACTTTCGTTAGTGAGTTGCTTTCCTTCCAGCTGTGGAATTGCAGCAACAAAACTAGCTCAGCAATACATGTTGCAGTTATGCCAGTGGCAAGATCCTATTCAGAAGGGACCATCTGTAAGTAAACAAAGATTAAAAAAAGAAAGGAGTCATCAGTGATCATGTGAAGATGAGCAAAGATTATTCCAGACTGACCTTGGAAGCAGAACTTTCCAACCTCATTTGGTGTGCAAAGCACTGGGAATACTAGTTTGGGGTTTTTTTTTCCTCTTTATCGCTATTGCTGCTGAAGAAGGAAATTGTAATTTTGTCCTCATTTTACAACGAATTTGGAGTAATTGGCGAGAAAAATGCGTAAAGCCGATGTGGAGGAGGATTTACTGCAGTGCTTTCAGTTATATCCCTAAAGAGTGCCATCTAGGGGTAACTCATTAAAACCTCGTCTCTCCTTAAAAATCAAACCAGAAAATACTTCACCTGCATGATGTTCCAAGATCTTGCTACAGATACTGAGCACGCTGCTTGGAGCCCATATGGTGGCATTAAAACTATAGGAAAGGAGATTAGCAAGAGATCACTACAGGATACAAAATAACTAAGTTCAGAAAATCATCGTTCTTTCACCTCCACAAATTACCTGGCATTTACAGCCAAATCCTCCCATGCTGACCAATAATTCAATTTATTGTCCAGCTTGTGAGAAAAACTATGAGCTTTAAAATCCTAACTCTTTAATGTGGCGATTAAATTAAGACAATTAGTTTTCTTTTATTGTTTCTCTGATAGGACAAAAAGGAAATGTGTAATTCTTACAAACATTTGAAGACATTAGCAGTCATATTTACCTACAGTTTTATTTTGTTGCCTGTTTTGATCTCCTATTCTAACTTTGCACATTTTTAATCAATATATATTTGGAGTAATGTGATCAAGTTCATAATTACATTTCTGCCTAAGAAGCCTGTTTTTTCTCCTACCTTTCTGGAAATTGTGATAGGCAAGCAGATAAATTCTGAAGGTCTCGAGGCAGCTAATTACACTGAGATACTTTGATGATGCTTGAATTTCTACCATTATTTAGTCTCCTAAAAGAAACTTGCTAAAGAAAATTTCTATTATTTTTATTCTTTTGGAAAGAATCCTAAACTTCTTCCAAGAGACGCTCAGAAGGACCTGTGCATTTAGGACCAGATCTCCAGGCTTCAGGCATGAAGCCACATGCAGACAAGGTCCCCTTCTCCTGCAGGAAACAGCATTTGTTCCTTCCACCACACCTGTCTTGCCTGTTGTCACCTCTTTTTGGCCTAGCATAGTAAAAAATGTATCTTACATATGTCTGTCTTGCAAAGCATTTCATAAAAGGTCTATTTGAGTCAGCCTTGCTGTATCCTCTCTAGCATATACATTTACTAATTTCTTCGGGTTTGGAACAATCTTCAAACTCTGTATAGCTGTTAATCGGGTCACAGTTTGGTCTATGGCTTGTGCTCCAAGGTGCTGTTAAAGATACATATCTAGAAAAATTCATTCTGCTCATGTCTCTAGTATCATTGTTACATCATTATATCCAGTTCTTTTCCTGGGGAGAGCTGCAGTCAACCAGTGCTATATTAAATCAGCCTTTGATAGAAGCTGGTCTCATTTTTCCTTGAGCTGCACAGCATTTTTTCTTTACAATATTGATTTAATAATCTAGAAATATTTGATGTTTACAAGTACTGATAGAAATAAAAACTGCCGGCAAATGTATCAATGTCCTTCTGTCATTCAGAAATCACTCCCATGAATTCATAGCACCCCTTTTACAAGCAATCTCCACTCTCTAAACCATATAATTTCAACAAAAGGATAAACAGTCAGTTTCTTATTTTTGTAAGCATGATTTATAAAAGGGGGTGGTGGAAATAAATAATAATTATGGGATAGTGTGCTAAAAAACCTCCAATGTAGACCTATGATACCAGGAAGAAAATGAGCTGGTACAAATTGTATAAATGGTTAACAATTATTTATTGTGTTCTTGTTCTGTGTAACATTTTTCACATTACTGAACTGAAAAACTCAAGGTGTTAATGATACCAGCGGGTGAAATTCCTCCCACTTTCGCCTCCTTCCAGGTCAGTGTCAATATCTATTGATTTTCATAGGTCTCATACTCAGGTGGTGGCACATAACACATGCTTCAGTTTTGTGCATACCTAAGTACATATAAGACTTAAGTAAGTGTATATGTTATTGAAGCCCAGAAATGGTAAAGGATTTTATTTTTATTTCAAACTAAATAATAGTGGGTGAAACTGTGCTGTGATTTATTTTTTTTTCCTCAGTAGCTAGCCCTCTAATGCAAGCTTTTCTTCCTCCCATTTTCTGCTTTTAGTAGAGAGGTGGCGTTATTTACCAAGTGGCTTTGTCTACTCTACTCTGTGCTAGAATAGTAAAAATAGCCAAAAACTGCAATAACAACTCAGCCATTTCCTACCTTTTTAAAGAACTGTACAAATATGAATGAATCGTTCATAATAGCATATGATTATCTTTTACAGCATCTACATTATATGAGAAATAAAAGCATAAAGAGCTTTAGAAAGGTAACAATTAATTTTGCAGGGGTTTTTATTTTGTTGTTCAAGTATATTATACTATATAGAACAGAACTAATATCTACTAAAAGTATATAAAAAAGAGGGGAAACTTAATACTCCATACTGAATACAGCTGAAATAATTATTTAATATTGTTGTTAATATTCTTTAATTGTTGCCTAGCCAACAACCTTTTTGCTTTGTG